TTGTATGGTTTGAAATAAGTTATTTTTGCCGCTTATGAGATAATTGACTGCCCTATCAAACGCAAGTAATAGGGAAGTTGTGATAGAACTGATTGAAAGCGGGATGTAAAGGTGCGAGCCGCCACTGTTAGTGAACTTCATAGTTTTGTATGGTTTGAAATAAGTTATTTTTGCCGCTTATGAGATAATTGACTGCCCTATCAAACGCAAGTAATAGGGAAGTTGTGATAGAGCTGATTGAAACCGGGATGTAAAGGTGCGAGCCGCCATTGTTAGTAAAGTTCATAGTATTGTATGGTTTGAAAGAAGTTATTTGGTGCGGGATTTTTTCATTGAGGGGAGATTTTGTTAATTGGAAAGGGCGGCGTGCTTTAGGAAGGTAAATGGTCTCCGAAACTTGGAAGTTATCTTTCTTTGCTTAATATAAATTGAAGTATGGAAGATAAAGGAATACAAGTTGCAATAGGATCGAAACGTGGGCTGAAAAGCGCAAAAACCAGTGCTTGTAGTGAAACCACAACATTAGAAACAGGGAAAGAGGAACGTGCTACGCAATGTGGAATGTCTCTTAAAGGGAGTTATGGTCGCAACTGTTAACACAAGAAGTGGCGATACGACAACCTGGTAGCGCAGATGCAGGACAAAGAAATGCTGGTGTACTGGTTAATGGATGAGGGGCTTATGGCGAAGGGACGTTCGTGTCCGATGTGTGCTGGAGAAATGAGTTTGACGAGGTGCGAGGATCGATCCGATGGTTTGAAGTGGGAATGCAGAAAGCAAGTTAACGGTAAAAGACACAAGGCAGAGGTTTCGATTAGGAAAGGAAGCTGGTTCGAGAAGAGCAATATGACTTTAGAAGAAATTGAGCTATCTATCTTTAGAAGCATGTCTAACGTGGGAAGATATATTAATGGAGAACCCAACTGACATGTTTGCTTTGAAAATGGCTCACGACTCCTACTTATATCCTGGATACCAACGTCAGTTCAGAGATTTCATCGCAAGGGTGATGCCGAAATGGAAAGAAGACATGCCACTCTATGGGTAGATGGCTCAGTACTAACTGTTCTAAGTTCTTTCAGTATTCAATCAGTGTTTAGTCCGTCTTGTGTGGTGGATCCTGGCTTTCTCTCCGAAGTAAGAGGCTAGGCAATCAGAGAACTTGATCTCACAAACAGCCCTGTTTGTGTCTAAGTAACAAAGTTTTTAAATTAAATTTCAATTAAATACTGTTTTTGATAACCGTAATGACTCGATTTAGAGCCCATGGCGCTTATTTACTTACTGTACTTTAAAGGGGGGTGCTTATTAGAAACAGGGCGCTTATCCAAAATTAAAAAAAAGGAATGAAAAAAAAAAAAAAAAAAAGGAAAAGAAAACAGCGAATGAGTTGAGTGTTAACCTGACAGTTGTAAGTTTTTGAGGAAACACGAAATTACCTTTCTATCAACGGCAGATGTCTTCACGGAATGTACGCGTTTGGCCTGATAGAAACAGGATTTTACAGACAGGCGGAGAAGCATGCACTGAAGGTTGGCTTTAAGACTTTGTTGATAGCGATTTTGTGATAATTAACTTCTTAAACAATTTAGAAAGAGCTTGTGGTTACCTTCATTCTGAATCGTGGCTGAGTAGCAGGCTTACAGTCTGCAATTCCTTGTTGAACTTTACCTAATACTTCAATGATGTGGTTGTGTTCATTGCCTGAAGAGGTAGACGTCACCATTTTGCAGTAAAAACGTAGCGATTATCACATCGGAAGTAGTTACATCCTAAAACGAGCAATGTTATTCCGATGGTAGTGTTTTATTTGTTTATTTTTAATTTTTTTTCCTCTCGGTAATTTTATCTTGCGGGTCTTGAACTAAATCCAAGAGATTGCTGGAGCACTCATGCAGAGGCCCATGTCATAGAAACGGAAGGACGTCAGGATGAAGGAATTAAATTCCTCAGCACGACCTTGAATGACTGGACTGTAAGGCCTACATAGAGTGAATTTTAGTTAACGTTAGCACCGCTGTCTNCGCCTAACCGCTGGGTTTTCATAATGTCACGCGTTTTAATAGCCAGTGTAAAGTTATCACAATAGATACAAACACGCACACGTATGCACGTACGCACGCATACACATCCATACAATAATTCCGTGAGACACGGCCTTCAGTTTGAGCCTCATTAAGATTTTGGGAAATTGTGAGAAAACCCTGACTTCAGATAACGTTACTACAAAATACTATCAGGAGTGCGTCTCTTTTTTTCGCGTGGTATGCACTACGCCCTCAGTGTTCCAGCACGTGCTGTGAAATACATCGAGCCGTTTCAACAAACTTACTTCTCTCCGCCCTCCGATTGAAGCTTCCCCAGCAACAACAACAACAAAAACAACAAAAGGACCACATTATTCCGTATGAAATTACACAGACCCGAAACCGGGATGATTAGTGAGAAAACAGTTGGGAGAGGAAGGGTTGGGGCCTATGGCCAAGGTTCAGTTCTTCGTCGGTAAAAGTTAAAGATGTTCGTATTTCTTCCTTTCTTTCTTTCATCCTTCATTCACCCTGTGTAGATGGGAGCTATGCTAGCCTGTCAAAATTACTGGCACTGGGCGCTATACCAGATCGAAAAGGTTGTTATCTCTTTCTTTAAAGTTAATGTTATGGTTTTTCTGCTAGTTTGTTTGTTTGTTTGCTGGTTTGGTTTTCGCATTTATCGTTACTTTCTTTTCAGCCATGTTTGCTATTGAACGCCAGCCTTTCTTTATTAGGGAGAGCATCAAGCCGCAGTGGACATTTATGACGAGGAGGTGTAGTGTAAACATGATCGATAACCTGTGATCTATTTATGTCATTACTAATTCTCATCAGGTCACACCTGATAGGTACATACACGACGTACATGTCAAATTAAAGTTATTTTATGTCAATTTGTTTTTTAATTCGCTCAATACTGGGAGATTTAAATTATTATAATATCTTTTTTCTCTCTAGAAGTGCGAAATACTTCATGTGTGTTTGTACAGTATCGTACACCCAGAGGGTAAATACATTACAGTGACCTCCTTATGGCGCTGTTTAAATTAATTGTAACTGTTTAGCTTTTTCTTTCTTGGTCAAAGGTTGGGAAACGTTGCCTTGCTGGTGCCATGCTTGACTTAGTGGACGCTTCCTCACTGCTCTGCAGACTTCAGATGGAAGGTAATGAGACAACACGTACCTGCAGATGTGTTGTGAATATCATTATTTGTTTTTTTTTTGTCGATCGATCGTTTGATCTATGGAATGATTGATAAATCAATCCATGGTACAATCAGTTCTACTAATCATTTGGCAGTCAGTCTACTAATTATTCAACCATTTAATTGGTAATTTATTCAATAGATCAAGGTATTATTCAAATAATCTATGAATTCAATCGAGATCAAGCCTTTAAAATTAAGCATTATTAATCATTGTAATGCAATTATTGTATACTGAAGTTATTGGCATGGATGAATAAAACCCACGACTTGATCCATTTTACGTATGATGCACGATCCTCGCAGTAGATAGCCCTATTTATGCAATAGCGAAAATCAGACCTGAACAAAATCAGGCCTGTACGGGATTCGAACCACTGACCTCTGCGATACTAGTGCAGCGCTTTACCAATTGAGCTAACAAGCCAACTGGGAGCAAGCCGTTAAGTTGATTCGAAGTAAACCCGTGAAAGTGATAAATCAGATGCAATGAATATATGAGGTTCATATATTTTGAACTGCGTTGAACTTCATATATTCATTGCATCTGATATATCACTTTCACGGGTTTATTACGAATCAACTTAACGGCCTGCTCCCAGTTGGCTTGTTAGCTCAATTGGTAGAGCGCTGCACTAGTATCGCAGAAGTCAGTGGTTCGAATCCCGTACAGGCCTGATTTTGTTCAGGTCTGATTTTCGCCATTGCATAAATAGCGCTATCTACTGCGAGGATCGTGCATCATACGTATCTAATACCGCAGTTCAAAATATATGAACTTCATATACTCATTGCATCTCATTGATCCATTTTGTTTTAAAATGTTTTTTGTTGTTTGTCTGTTTTTTTCCTCTAGGTGTTGATGCTAATGATCGTTGGAGAGAGCTGTTTCATTTGCGGGAGTCACACACAGATGATCACATTTTGGTACGTGCTATACGTTACGCGGCGGTGTAGCATACAATAAATTATCTTCATAAGCAAGTTGAGGACAGTCGCAGGTGCTTACTGCTATGTCAACAAACCTTGCAAAACTGAAATGCCAGTTACAGTCCCTTTTGAGAAAGCTTCGATGTGACATTTCCTAATGGTTAAAGGGAACCTCAACTCTTCTAACAAATAGCGCTCAAACTATTCCAAATGTATTTGTCCATACATCTGGTTTGCAAAAAATTGTGTTAGCAAGCATTCTGTCTTTTTTTCTCTTTGTGCTTTACATGTATGCCAGGTGGGAAATGTCTCTCACAGAGTGTCATTTACTCCTAAAGGGATGTTGGCCATCTCCTGGAACTCCTTGTATATGTTTGAGTTGCCCGCTTCTGGAATTTGATAGTAACCGTTGATTTAAATTTTGAAGAGTATCAAAAGTAATCGGGGATTGCTTAGATTTTGCCTCACTCTGTTGGACGATTGGTCTAGAAAACCCATAACACCTTTTAAACCAATAAGATGCACACCTTGGACCAATGGCAAACTGGGTACCCCTCATATTTCCGCGCCTCGGGCATTTCTAATTTTGAGTCCTTATTGGATCGTAGTGATAGTTTCTTTCCTGATAATTGGCTGATGTGATTACTCTGGTTTTTGTTCACAACACCCAATCGAGAATCGCCCTCTTTTCATGGGTGGTCTTACACAAAGAAAAATACGAGCCATTGCTTTCGTCCAGACTTCTCCTCACCCAAAGCCCAGGTCACTCACACATCCTTCATTAGCTATTGTTTAATTAATTTTTTTTTTTTACATATTTTATTTAATTATTAATTTTTTCAACTCAGGTTTTCAATGCTGTTCATATGTTGATGTGTACACTGGGAGCTAAGAAGGAAGATGCAACACTAAATCTATTGATGTCGCTTAGAGACTATGTTAGGTAATATGGAAAAGAGTGTGGAAGAACGCTCAAATCAACAACCTGTCATTCAGTGAAAGAGTGTTTAGTTATCTCTCAAGCGTTGATGGATTTGAGGCATTCTGATTTACTTACTACACTTCCTTCGATGTAAAATACCCGTAGATCTAAGTTAGAGTTATTTATAACTGACTATATCACCAAGTACTTTCCCAGGAACTGAACAGGAGACCATGACAAGCGAGCAACGATTTTATTATCACTTTCTGCAAACGAGATTTGGTTGTTCCAGCTCGTGGTCGTAAAATTATTTGCAGTGACAGGTTCTCAGTGAGAGGGTCTCAAAAACAGAAATCAACTGAGAACGGCGATATATTTAAAC